AGCCTCAAACTTTGAATGAATTTTTGTGATGCTCAAAAGTAGGGTACCTTCCTTTGTTCAGTTCATTAATGCTCTTTATTCTGTTTTTATAAAGCACAAATTGTTCTTTCTATAGAGTTAATAACTAATAGTTATAAAGTGACATTTTTGTTTTTTGTTTTTTGGTTTTTTTTGAGATGGAGTTTTGCCCCTGTTGCCCAGTCTGGAGTGCAATGGTGTGGTCTCAGCTCACTGTAAGCTCTGCCTCCCGGGTTCAAGTGATTCTCCTGCCTCAGCCTCGTGAGTAGCTGGGATTACAGGCACGTGCCACCATGTCCAGCTAATTTTGTATTTTTAGTAGAGATGGGATTTCTCCATGTTGCTCAGGCTGGTCTCGAACTCCCAATCTCAGGTGATCCACCTGCCTTGGCCTCCCAAAGTGCTGGGATTACAGGTGTGAGCCACTGTGCCCAGCCTAATTTTTGTATTTTTAATAGAAACAGGGTTTCACCATGTTGGTCAGGCTGTTCTCAAACTCCTGACTTGTGATCCGCCCACCATGGCCTCCCAAAGTGCTGGGATTGCAGGCATGAGCCTCCGCACCCAGCCAACATTGTTATTCTCTTAAATATATATAATTCAATAGGGTAAAAAACAATAACTACACTGTAAGCCAAAGTGAAGCAAGCTGGAGAGGTACAAGGAGCCTTACAGAGAGGTGCAAGTGTTAAAAACCCAGTGGAAGACACATTCATTTTGCAGGGAGGAGTCAGGGTGGTCATCTCAGAGGGCATAACAAAGGGTTTGAGCCATGCTGGCTGGGCTTTTAGTTAGGTATGTTGGGCAGACATGGCGCTCCCTATGCCCATCCCCTCCCCGTGCACCCCTTTGGGTCAGCAGGCCTTCACTCTCAGTGTTGCCCAGAAAAAAGCATCATCTTCTGGGGTCCCTGCCTCTGGGACCTCCGCTGAGCTTTAGTCTCCTAGTCAGCTGAAAGCAGATCTTCTAGTTTCTAAGGACTCTTTCTCAGGCTTTTTGCCAAAAATAGTCACTGCTCCCTGAGGAGAAGTCAGGGCCTCAAAGCAAATCATTACCGGCAGCCCCAGGGTTAGGCCTGTGCCATCTGGTTTCAGTGTTTCTTTTATTTTCTTTTGGGCCCAGTGGTTTCTGCTCCAGGAAGATTCTCGAAAAATAAATCCATAGCTTTCAAATATAAAGGGCAGGACTCATGCCTCCTAACCAAAGGTCTCTACACTGAAACCCCGGTATCTTTTCTGTGTCAGGCCTCCCAATTCCAAATCGCTGGCTCTTCTGACATGACTCAGTCAGAAGCTTTTGACTCCCTGGAGCCCCAAGGGCTCCCTGAGACTGCTCACAGACTCCAGAAGTCTTCCCTTGAAAGGCATCACGGCCGGAGCTGGAGGATTTGGGAACCCAGAGGCCAGGGAGTATAGCCATCTCCAGCCCTACCATGAGAGGCAACCGCCCTACCCACTCTGTAGGGCTGTTCCAGCTCAGAATCCACTTCCACCTGAGACAAGTCTATCCTGGATATCAGGGGACTCTGGCATGGTCTATTCCCCAGAGGAAAACAAGCACTGTTGTGGCTAGAGGGATGGGGAGAGAAAAGAAGAAGAGGTCCAAAGCTCCAGTCAAAATATGTGGTGCAGAGTAGGGGGGAAGAGTGAGGATCCAGAACCAATTTAATGAATGCTTAGGTGGCTCTCAGTTGAGCTGAATGACCCCAGGAAAGTCACATTTTCAGGAATATAGGGTGGCAATATAATATAGCAGATAAGACTACAGGCTCTAGAGTCAAATGACATTGGCTCAAATCTGAGATGTGTGACCTTAAGTAAATTATTTAACCTCTCTGAGCCTTAGGAAATGGAAAATGAGGATATTATGAGTATCTACAAGCTGGGTGCAGTGGTGTGTGCCTGTAGTCCCAACTACTTGGGGTGCTGAGGCAGGAGGATTGTTTAAGCCCAGGAGTTTGAGTCCAGCCTAGGGAAAATAGTGAGACTCATCTCTTTAAAAAAAAAAGCTGGGCAAGGTGGCTCATGGCCTGTAATCCCAGCACTGTGGGAGGCCCAGGCAGGTGGATCACCTGAGATTGGGAGTTCAAAACCAGCCTGACCAAGATGGAGAAACCCCATCTCTACTAAAAATACAAAAAATAGCCGGGTGTGGTGGTGCATGCCTGTCATCCAGCTACTCAGGAGGCTGGGGCAGGAGAATTGCTTGAATCTGGGAGGCAGAGGTTGCAGTGAACCGAGATCATGCCACTGCACTCCAGCCTAGGCGATCCAGTGAGACTGTCTCAAAAAATAAAAACAAAAAGTAAAATAAAATAAATCTAACAAAACCCCTAATTCACAGAGTTATGGA